TGAAATCTGCAATGCAGAAATAAAAATGGGGAAAAAGTAATGATGGAATTGGAACAGCCTAATATGCTGTAATAAGGTACAGGAAGGCTGTTTTTAATTGGGCAGTGACAAATTGTAATTCAGTTTTAGATCGGGATGCAGTGATGAAGCAGTGATGTCAGATTAGTTTTGTTTTCATTGTTTCTTGTGGTCAGTTCAGATGATAAATTTACTCCATGACTGATAGTTGGAATGAGGTAGAAAACCTAAGCCCCACGAAGCCTAAGGAACTGGCTAAAACTTTTTTCAGCTTAGTTTCCTGTTGGTGAGACTGTGAAAAGCCTTGTGTTAAGTTTTTTTTTTCTTTTTCTGATTTTTCTTCTTTTTACAGGAAAAGGAGGTTTAAAATCTCCATTCTACTTATGTGATAAGGTATCTCTTCAAGTTTCTTAGACCACATTAAAAATACCTAGTCTAAATCATACGTGTTGTGGATCATGGCTTTTGGGACAGCTCCAGATAGGACAAAGGCAACAGGACAGCTGTGCTTAGCCAAGCTTTAGGAACCTTGTTTGGCTCTTAATCCCTCACCTTGACATGGTTCCCAGGCAAAACGAAGACATGTGGTCTATAGTGTGCTCTCCAACTTAGATATGACAGGATTTTGGTTTCATTACTGTCAATCTGAATTGTTCTATGGAATGTGGGTGTTGTCACGCTTATGGAAGCCATGTTTATTCAAAGTGGAGTGAAGTCTTCTCTTCACAGGATGTTTAACATCAGAACCATTTACCCCGGGAACCATGAGGAACAGTGTCACCTGAAATACTTAATTCAGGATTAACTGCCTTTGTGTGTAATATAACTGATTAACTTCTAGCTGTAAATTTGCTGAGGGAGGCCTTAGGTGAATTCTCTGGTTTGTGTTATTTAGGTGGTTAGACTGATGGTTTGGGGCTCTCGTGCAGCCTCAGCCCATCAGACTGTGAGCCAGTGCAGTCTCTGTACTGTTAGATGAGGGTGCTGCCTGCCTGTGCTGTAGCTTTTGCATTTACTGAAGGTTTTGAGACTTCATTTCCAGAGATATCTGGGGTCATCTTGATTTCTAAATTCACCCATTTAATAAAGTTGACTACATTCTTTAACAGTTTTGGTGATCTTCCCAGGCAGTTTACCTCTTTATTGCATTTGACAAGATAAAAGTTGATTTCGCAACATAAAAGATGTTGGTTCTGATACTGAAACAGCTTTTTACACAGTCTCATTGTGACTTTTGGCAGGACCAACCTGATAAATCTACCAAAACAAAGAAGAAAATAGAGTAAGAAAAAGACTTTATTGTATTCAACCAGAAATAGTGTTTGACTTTCATATATCTTATTAGAGGCTTAAACAGAAAAGTTAGAAATTACCTGTTTAGTATTCCAGTCTTGTTGGACGCATTTTAAAACCTAAACTAGTTAGTGTGGTGAATGAAAACAGGACCAATGTGACCTAAGAATTATTGAGGTGAAATTTTGAGCCCCTGGCTTAGAAAATTGATCCTGTGAAATTGGATTAAATGTGATAGGAATGAAAACAGTGAAGTTCTTGACTCCTGCAAATGTCTTACTTTTAGGAGAGGATTGGGGGAGCTGCTGTAGAGACAAACAGAAATGGGCTTTAGTATATTGCATTGCATGTGGAAAGTTATTGTATCTTTGATATTGATACTGAAATAGAGAAACTGGAGGTTCTAAAATTACTAATTCCTAAAATGGTTAAACCACTAATGTTATTTTAAAAAATATATGGAAGAGCACTATTACTACACTGAATTTTCTGTGTTTGTATTCTACACTTCATATAGAAACAACATCACAACTCTCGACCCAAGAGATTTGGGCACTGGGCTGAAACTTTTTGGGTTGCTTTTGTCCTGGGCGAGTTTCCGTGGGGACTTGAAGGATGTGGTATGTGCTGTTCCCAGCAGTGGTACTCCTGAAGTACTAAATGAACAATTGTTTTAAAAATGTGGTCTGTGGGCAAGTCTGGAGTCACCATGTTTTCTTCCTCGTTTGCCATCCCTGGGAGCTAAAACTGGGCATTAATGAGAAGCCATTGTGCCTCTAGTCTACACCTGGGAGAACAATTTTTAGGAAGTGAGCTTCCAGTTTGTTTTAAATGGGATAAAGGAAAGGGAAAGTGTGTTAGTGCAGGCCCTTTCCTACTTTAGTTCATTCATTTGTACATTTTTTATTAGTTTTACCAAGTGAGTTGCAATAGCCACAGTCTGCAGTTACTCAGAGATTAGAAACAAAAGTGTTTTATCCTGTTGGTGAAGCACCTTCAACCCAGTAGAAATCTTCAGTAGTGGACTCCATCACCGCAGCTCCTGGTAACAAAATTGAAAAGCTGCTTGTAAACTGCTTAGTTACATCTTTTGAATTTCCAGCATTTGTTTTAATAAACAAAGGAAGTAGTTTGTGTTAGTGGTGAAATGGCAAGTCATGCAAGACTGATTTTAGCACTGCATGTTATTGTCTACCTTGAAGTTTTTATTCAAAGGGTGTGTTTAGTGACAAAGGTAATGCTCTAACAGGAAAATGCTGAACATTTATCTTTATAGAAAGGGACCCCTATGATCTCTTTAATTTCCTGCTCTAACTCTCATGAAAACAAAAACAAATTGGTCCTTGCACAACCTTCAGTCAAAGCAATGCATGTAAATGTGAATTAAAGCCGTCAACAGCTTGTGTGGTCTGTAGACTGATTTGAGAAGCCAGAAGCAATTAGCTATCCAAGCATAAATGTCTGCAGGAAGAGACCCTGTTTCCGAAGTGGTGCTGCAACTGAATAGTGCATGTGGGAACGCAGGCAGAAGGTTTATGACAGTAGTTTGCTTATGCCAAGGATGTGGGCACCTTCGTTGGTGTCTTTTGGGCTTCAAAGTCCCTGGTGACTTGTTTTTAATCTCAACATTCTGATAAGGTGTCAGTGATCCCCCATGTCATCTGTGTCAGCATTGCTGTGCTGTTGCTGTTTTTCAGGTGGCAGAACCATAAATGATTAAGACAGATCTTGTGCCAGATGTTACAGCCAATAAATGCTTTTGCTGAAGATTTTGTAGATCTCAAGTATGGATAAAATAAGATTTTATGAAACGTACTGAAAGACTGTAGTGAAAGGATGTCTGAAAATGATGGGGCAAGCCCTGTGTTTAGCACAAACCAAATTAAAAAAGGAAAAAGAGTAGTCAGGTCTAAGCCCTTAATGGGTCTGGCTGGAGCAGTATCATCACCCACTTCTAACATCTGCTGTTTCAAAAGTCAGTGGTTTTCTTTAAAAGATTCTGCCTGAAATCAGACTTGTTTTAAATGAGCCTTTAGACTTTATCAGGTGTGTGCTGCATGGCTTGGTGAGCTGTACTTGGTAAAAAGATTGTTTCATAGCCAAACTGCCAAAATCTTCGCTGGCAGTCATGGATTTTGAGGTGCTTTTGATTTTTTTTTTTTAAATTGTTTTCTTGTTTTAAAGAGCATTCCCTATGATCTTATTATCAGGTATTTTTAAAACAACCTGTCCACTTTTTTCAAATTTCAAATTTGTTTTGCCTATTGGATTTTTTTCCTTTTTTGGAGAATAAAATATTTTTAAGCTTTTGTGTTTGTACTTCTGGGACAGAATTCTGGTGGTTTTTTTTTTTTTTTTTTTTTAATCTCCTGTGGAATTGGTGAAGGTATCTTATCCTTTGCTTTATTGTAGTTACATTCTCTCTGCCTTTTCCATGCCTGGTAAAATAATAAGGACGTGGTCTATTCTTCCTCATCAAAATCATTAGCAAAAAAGACTCCATCCCAGCAGTGGTCTTGTGAAAACCTAGCTGTGTATGTTCCTTCATTATGAGAGCACAAATATTAGTAATTTTGTCATTTGTTTAAATTTCACTAGCTCTGTAAGTTCATGTGATTTGTAGAAATACCAACCAAACAAAACTGATTACAGATTTAGCTTATTATCCAGAACAGGGTCAAGAGGATCGTTATTTATTGCAAGGACACATCAGATGGCCTTAGAAGAGGACTTTTCTAGTTCTTATATGTTGGTGCCAAGACTTGATTACAGTGGCACAATATGCAGGAATGTTTCATGAATGTGTACTGTCAGCACTGAGGATTGGCGGGGCATGTTGGTTTTATTCTTCCCGTATTTTGCTTTGCGTTGTGTTTTGTAGTCTTAAAATCATTCTCCCCTTGATAAATAAACAATATTGGGAAGAGGAAAAAAGGTTAATGTTCAGCTTCTACCTGGGATATGTGTTAGTTTAATTAAAAATGTTTATAGATACAACATCAACGAAAAAGCAATACTAGGAAAAAACCTCTGTAGGTAATTAACTGACTGAAGTATCTGTAGAAGTAATCCAGTATTTGCATCTTCAGTTAGTCTTTTTTGGGAGAGATGAACTCTACCCTCTTCATGTGAATATAGTTCCTGTTTTTAGGCCAGACTGATTTAGCAATAGCAGTCTACTGCTTTTATATAGATGTAGTATGTGTTATGTCCCATGCCTCTAATCCTAAAGATACCTGTTGACCTGGCAAAACCTCCCACTTTTCCGTGACAGAGGCTGATAATACCTTTCAGTGAAGGTACTCCATAATAGGCTCTTGATGTAAAAGATTTTAACTCAAAACTGAAGTGGTGATGTTTGCTGTACTGCTGAGTGTGTGCCTGAAGTGTGAGTAAGTAAAAACCTCCTTGTATTAATATTCTGCAAACTTGGAACAATATGAATTCTCCAACCAAAAATAAATTGTTGGGATTTTTGCTGTCCTGTTCCATTGAGCTTTTTGAAACCATAATGAAAGTTGGCCTAAGCAACATCTGACTGATATTTCTGCTTGAGAACAGAAACAAAAACTGAGCAAAGGTGTTGCATGGAGAACAGGAATGCTGCTCTGCAATGCTAAGTAAAACATAACATTTGATTTCTGAAGACAAAATTATTTAGTTGGGTTTTGTTTTTATTTTTGGTACAGGTCATTAACGCTGCTTTAGCTCTTGCTGCCAGACCAAAAAGTCAAGTTGTGAAAAACAACATGGAGATGTATAGGAGTACATGGGAGAATCACATCCATGTTCTTACTGAAGCTGTGGATGATATAACAAGTATTGATGATTTTCTTGCTGTATCAGGTATGATAATTTTCAGAATCTAATTATTCCTTTATGTGCTTTGAAAACTTTTCATCACTTGTCAGTAGGAAACCAGGGGAAGATTAGATTCTGTGAGGTTTTGTGAAGCCATTGCTTGTGTTTAAAATGTCCCCACACAGTGGATATTTCTGCTCTGCACAATGTAGAGCTGGGTGGAAGTTCCTTGAGCAGATCAGCTGCAGGGAGTGCAATGGGTGTGACAGGGGCACGTTTGTGCATCCTCACAAGAGATTCATCTACCTCTTCAGATTCCATATCCTCTCTGGAGCTGTAAGAATCTCCTTCTAAGAGAGGAAGTACAGATGAGTGTGCATACACCTTAAACAGGACACTCTTGTGTTACTGTGGAATACACAGTAGAATTTGTGGAATTTTCCGTGTTGCAAGTATTTGTCACACAAGCTGTACTTGCAGATCTTTTCAGTGAAGAGACCCTTGATAGTAAACTGTAGTTACTGAAACAGTGAGTGTCTTCAGCATTTCAACAGAAGATAGAAAACAGTTGCTTCATTTCTTACAGTTGAAAGATCCCAGTTCTGAAGGAAGTTTCCTCCCTCAGTGATGAAAAGTATTCAACAAAAGCATTTCGGTTGCACTGTTTTTCTGTGTTGCTCCTGTTAACATACACCTTCATGTGCATAGCCTAGAAATCTTTAATTCTGAAGCACTTGTAAATCTGTATAATTCTACCTTTTTGACTTCTCTTAAAGTAGCGTAAACTGGGAAGGAAGGAAAAATTTGCCTCATGTTCATTAAATGCGGTTTAACTTCAGTGTTTCTTTATGGTCAGTGGGCCCTGTGCTTGCCCATTTCTCTCTGGGCACATCCTTTGGGCTTAGTTCCATTTTTTAGGATTATTTGGTTTATGCAGCAATATGGAAAATGACTGCAGATGTCAATAGTTGGAAAACATTGTAAATAAAGTCAGAACTGAGTTCAAGTTATGTTTTGCTCGTTAAACATGGGGGCAGACTCTGTCCTTAAAGGGAGACAGAGAGTGGGTATTTATTGCTCTGAAGTTTATTTGGGTATCTTCAAAAATATCACCTCTACTGTGGTGACTGGAAGCTGCTGGACTGGAGTCCCAAAAACTTGAGTAGTGGTTTTTTTCTTGTGATCAGGGTGTGGATATTACAGTGCAGAAACCATAAGCAGAGATGCCTGTTCAGGCCCTTTCTGGGTCTGCTGATGTGGGATGCAGACTTTTCCTCAGGGCATGGAGTTCTCCTTCCTTTACAGTGGTAAAGTACCTAGCAAGTGATTTAGGTTTCACTGGAGAAGAATTTACTGCAAATAGTGCTATTTGATTATCCACTGAGTTACTGTCCTACAGGTATCTCAGCATCTCAGTACACAAATACATAACCTGAGGATTAATTTTTTCCACTTATGAACCTTCCTGTTGCTTATAGGGCAAATCTTTCCTGTTGGGGTAAAACTGAAATTTCTTCAGGTGTTGCTGGAGCTGTCAATGAAGAGATGAAACAAGTCAATTGCTAATGAATTTAATACATGAATTTCTTTAACTTACTATGAAATCTCCTGAGTTTTAAAATTCTTCTTTGAAATTCATTGAGCAAAGCATCTCTTTTAAACTGTGCAGCTATGATTCATTTAAATGGCACATTTCAGATATTTTTTTTTCAACATTTCCTTGACTCAAAGAATAAAATTAGGCATTCCAATAATAATTGTGGGGAAAAAAAATCAGTCATCAGGTGGCTGCTCATTGCAGAGTAGACTCCTGGCTTTTTGCTGTATTTTACATTCTTTGGTTGAACACAGTTGAATGATTGACAACATTTCACAGTGAGTAAAAGCAGAACCTGTAACTCAGGTAGCACTGATGTGTAGGCCTAAATGTGATGGGGTCCAGAAAAAGTAAATATTCATGTATTTTCTTTAAACTGTGCGCAGAACATCTTTTGTAAGCTTTGGTAGAACCTTCTGGCACATGTTAATTTAATTTGTTTGAACTTCAAGTGTCAGGCTCGTTCTTAGGGGATCTGCTGAGTAGATGTTTCCCTATGGCAGTATCACCTTCCTGCTTTGGGAAGACTTCTTTTTTTAATTTTTATTACCTTCATATACAAAGAAGTAATGAGTAATTGTAAGTGCAAGCCACTCTTGCTCTACTCCTCAGGGTGTTAGGACCATTACTGTGTTCTGAGGGAGCAAAGCATTCACATTGCTCTGAATAGAGAGAAGAGTTGTCTAAATAGAAAAGTTAAAAGTGTCTAAACAGCAAAGTTAAGTGTAATAGAAGATAGTATCTACCTTTTCCAGAAAAGTGATTAGGAAAGATAATGTACATTGAGTGTTTTGTGTCACTCTTGAGATGAAAGGAATACCAGAACTGGTTCACAGTGGGTCTGTTCTTTCTGCAGAATATAGTATTCTATGCCACATGGCAACATGGGAGAAAAATAGTTTTAAAATAACATACTTCTTTCAAAATGGATACTGAGCTCTTTTGGGCAGCTCTTCACATTTGAGTTGGATGGCTGAGTTTGCAGCCCTGACCGACTTTGCATCTTTCAGGTTGGCGAGGGAAGTGATTAATACTGGAGTGCTAAAATTGTATTCAAAATTATAGTTAACTTCTTTGTAAATACAGTAAACGTGCCTTCCCTAGTAATTCTGGTGACTCAGAACTCTAAATCGTACAACAGAATTGCCTACTTTTCAAGTTTATTTTAAATTGCATCTCTGACTGATTGATATGTCAGATTTTTCTACCAGATGCATCATGTAAGCCACAAAATACATATTCCCAACTTTAAACAGGTTTGGAACGTACATTTTGTATGAACTTTTCACGCAACGTCACCTGAGCTTTGGAGGACAAGTAATTCTATAAAACGATGTTATTAAGATGAGTTGTTCTGGGTTACTTTTGGCTGAGTTTCTCCTGTGGGCGTTTCCAAGGTACAGTGTAACTCCCTTTAGTGTCACCACAAAAATTTTGCACTGAGCTAAGTAGCAAGTGGGTTAGTCCCTATGTTTCTTGAATCCAGACTTTTATGTTTCTGTGCTTAAAATAAGCTGAGTAAGGGAGCTGTGGGTAGAGGGTGGGAAGGAACTGAGCTCCCTATGGAAAGATCTCCTTGTGCTGTTTTCCAAGCCACTTGTGTGGTTACCAAAACAGGATGTTTGTGTATGGACAGTTCTGCCCCACTGTGATACATGTACTTCTCTGGTGTAGCACTGGGGGAAGGAGAATTCTGTAGCAGATCAAAAAGAGTAAATTGTGAGCATGTGGAAGGTTGGTTTTTTTTTTCGTTGTTCTTGTTGATTCGTCAATTTTTGGGTCCCCTCCCTTTTTTTTAAATGCTTATAAATTACATTTAGTAATAATAAAATGTATATGGTAATAATGCTGTTCTTACTTTTTGAAGTGTATTAGTCTTTCCTTTTCAGATTCACCTATCCTCATGGAATCAGGTTTTCTGTTTTGTTTTAATCGTGTTCTATTCTTGCTGTTTATTCATATGTGTGTTCAAAGGAGAACTAGAACTACAGAAGAAAAAACCCAATGAAATCAGGCCTTTACAAGTGAAAAAGTGGTCTGATTGCAAATAGCTTAAGTGGAGGTCTACTCCTTATAAGGGAGAGCAAGAGTTAATGACTTGTATAGAAAATGTCATTGCAATTATGAGTATCATCATTATAAATGATGATACTGCTGTTCGTAGATTTGTTACACCTCGTAAGAACAGAGAATCAGTCTCAGCCTATCGGTTTTGGATAGTTAATTTATGCAAGGAAGAATGTGGGTATTAATCTTTACAACCCACTGACATTAGGTTTAAAAAGTACTGTCATCCATTTATCACGACGATGTGAAGTCTCCAGATTCATAAATTAAAATGTGCTGTTGCATTTGATGCATGAATTTCCAGGAAACTAGTTCTGTTATGCTTGTAATTTCGTTTATGTTTGTAAATCCTAAGTTTTATCCTCAGCTCTGCTCTCATAAACTGACTCTTTATTGTCTGCTCCTACACTTAGGCTGGAAACATAGTTTATGATGTTGATTCTTCTGTGTTATTTTAATAATTAAGTGCCTTAATAAACCTGCTGGATATAGACGGAAAATCTGAAATGTCGGTATTTCCTTCCTTTGTATGGATGTTTTCTGCTCCTGATAATGGTGTGTAATTGCAGTGACATGTTAATTGCAGTTGTTAAATGTTTTAATATTATCACATGTGAGAAAACCAGTAAGAGAAGACTTAGATCTTTTAGTCCCTGAGTTAACTCAATTCTTACAAGGACAGTACAGGTAAGAAAAGCATCAAAAGTGTGTTTATATATACCAAATTCTCAGGACCTGTGGGTTTTTTTCCTTTCTGTTGTCTTCTTGAAAAGCTTGCATGGCAGACACCTGTGCTGCTTTTCTGTCCTATTCTCAATGTCCTTGCCCAAACTGTAATTATTTCATCTGCTGAGCCTTCTTTCCAACCTCCCCTATGCTGCCTTGAGTTTTGGTCTGTCATATTCCTAATATCACTATGCTTAAATCCTTATAATAGTAGCTCCTCTTCTGCCCAAATGGAAGTTCCGTATTTTCATAAAAACATTTCCCTGTTCATTTCTTTTCTCATCCCTCCTCATTTGTGACTAAATCCCCATCCTGAAATGTATGCAAGTGTATGCAAATAACAGAGAGCCTTTCCTGTTGCGTAGTTACATCTCTGCTCTCTGCCCTTTCACATACCTTCTTAAAATACAATTTGTCTAAAGTGCATTTCGTCTCTTGTCATCTCCTCAACACCTTGAATTGTAATTTCTTTAAAGGTAAACGTGTAATAAATCATTAGGTGCTGGGATTGTTTTGTCCAGTTTGCTGTCTCTCTACCAGAAATTTTGTTCCTTGCCATTTACCCGATGGAGTGATACAGGGAGTGCAATGACTTACATGTCTGCCTCAGGTAAGAGTTTGTGTGACTCCCCTGTGCAGTTTTCCACTGCTAAAC